ACATTACCAGTTAAAGACCATAAATTAAGATACAGCTGCTTGGCAATTATCATTACATTCAGAGTGAGAGAAACTGATTCATAAACAGAAAAGCAGCTTCCACCAGGCCTCCAAGTATGGCTGATCCCAAAACAGGTGCTGGGAAGATCCTCATCTGCCCCCTTCATTCAAACCCCAGCCATTGTGGGCCGCCTGCTACCGTCACGGAGTTTTCTTGACTGAAAGAGGACCTTGCATCCTTAAGGCCAGCACTCGTCCTTCTAACATCCCAGGGGCGAAGGCAGTTCATAATTGGGTCCACCACACACACCCCCCCGCACCCTCTCAGGATCTTTTTGCAAAAGGGAGAGAATTGGAAGAGAACACCATGTCCTCCAAAGCACCTTCTGAAGTCTGACCTTAGAGAAGTAGCTTCTCAAGCTGACTTAAATAAATTCTACATTCTTCCAGAGTGCTCCACATTTAAAAAAAATGAACATTAAGTCTCCAGTAGATTAGAATATTTAGAAACTAAAAAGTCTTATATCATCCAGAATGCATGTTCCCTATTCACATATCTCAGTGTCATCCCTGTATCTCAGTGAGATTCACATATCTCAGTATCTGTGCGATTCTGATGGGCCTGGTTCATTTCGTTGTCCTTCTTTGTGGTTTCTGCCCAAATCCCATGAAACGCATTTCATCCCTGAATCAGGAAACTTCTAATTGCCAAAACAAATAGCCCCCCAAATTTCAGTGACTGAAAATAGCAGCTTAGGTCTCCTTCCCATGACAATGCAAGTGCTCCTGGCCCGCAAGCAGCGTGCCAGCCTGTGGGACTCCATACCTCTCTCCCGCTGTCCTTTTGCTCTGCCATCTCCGGGGCCTCAGAGACTCTGTGTTCAGCCTGAAGACCCAGAAGCATTTGGGAGAACTACATCACATGACCAGGTTCTGCAGACTGCTCTGTGCTGTGGACCAACTAGTAAGAAGAGCAAGCAGTTTATCACTGTCACAACCCTTTAAACAGATTATTCTCCTTCCATTTATATTTGTCTCCACATTTTCTAAAAAGGAGTTATTGGTGGTGTGACCCCAAATGAGCTATTTCTCCATGCCTCAGATGACATAAGTTGTCACTCTTTAATGATCCAGACCCTAACAGTGTATGAATTCTGAGAGAGCAGAGCCCCACTATCTGGCATGGTGGTCACAAGTCACATGTGGCTGCTGAGTGCTAGAAATGAACTGGTCCAAATTGAGAAGTGCTCTAAGTATACAGTACACAGCAGATTTCAAAGACTTCATAAGGGAAAAGGTTGTAAAATATCTTATTAAATCAATAAATGTTGAAATAATATTTTGGATACGTTGGGTAAAACAAAATATTAAAATTAATTTTACCTTTTAAAAAACTTAATGCAGCCGGGCTCGGTGGCTCAGCCTGTAATCTCAGCACTTTGGGAGGCTGAGGTGAGTGGATTGCCTGAGCCCACGGGTTAGAGACCCGCCTGGGCAACTTGGTGAGACCTCATCTCTACAATAAAATAAAAAATTAGCTGGGCATGGTAGCGTGCGCCTGTAGTTCCAGCTACTTGGAAGGCTGAAGCGGAGGGATCGCCGGCGCCCAGTTAGGTCGAGGCTGCGGTGGCCGGGAGCGCCACTGCACTCCAGTCTGGGTGACAGAGTGAGACTCCAACTCAAAAAAAAAAAAAAAAAACAATGCAACTGCCAGAAACTTTTAAAATTACCTATGTGGCTCCCAGTACATTTCTGCTGGACTGAGCTGATCTAGTGTGTCTCCTAAGTCTGACCATTTTAGAAAGTCCTCAACACAATTTTATTATGCTAAAGGTTTTTTAAATATAAGTATATACCACTTTGAGAAGATTAGGGAGAGAAAAATTATAAAATCAAATATAGTCCTTCCCCCAATCTCTTGAATAAAAGCCATTCACTCTGCTCCCACCCAAGCCCCAATTTTTTTTGTCTATTCTCATGATTTCTTCAACAGTGAATGTTTTTCTTCTAAATCAAATCTTTGCAACTAAATTGAATCCCAGCATTTTGGGAGGCTGAAGCAAGAGGATTGCCTGAGCCCATGGGTTTGAGACCAACCGGGGCAACATGGCGAGACCTCATCTCTATATAAATCAAAAAATTAGCCGGGCATGGTGGTGTGTGCCTGTAATTCCACCTAATTGGAAGGCAGAAGCTGAAGGATCGCCTGAACTCAGCAGGTCGAGGCTGCGGTGGCCATGAGTGTGCCACTACACGCCAACCTGGGCGGCAGAGTGAGACTCTGACTCAAAAAAAAAAATTGAAATTCATAAAGTTATTCATTCTTCCTAGCCTGTCCAAAGAGACTGACTTTTGGATTGGTAAAGCCTTTTGTAATCACAATATCACTATCTAGGCATTTCTGCTAATGTGTATGTTCCTAAAAAATTATATAGGATTTATGGGAAAATGAGTTGGAAAAATCACATAAAAACTGTATGACACTAACAAAAGCAATCACTGTCTTTTTTTTTTTTTTTTTCGGAGTGGGAGTCTCACTTTTGCCCAGGCTAGCCTGCAGTGGCATGCTCACTGCCATCACAGCCTCGACCTGCTGGGCTCAGTTGATCCTTCCATCTCAGCCTTCCAAGTAACTGGAACCACAAGTGCGCACCCCATGCCCTGCCAAATTTTTGATTTACTGTAGAGATGAGGTTTTGCCATGTTGCTCAGGCTGGTCTCAAGCCCCTGAGCTCAGGCAATCCTCTCACCTCCGCCTCCCAAAGTGCTGGGATTACAGGCGTGAGCCACTGCACCCAGCAACAATCACTATCTTAATAAAAACCCTATTAAAGTTTAAGATACATTAAATTTCTAATAATATAATAAGCATAAGACTTTACCATTTTAAGAAAGGGATGATAGTATCTTGAAGGAAGCCGTATACAAAAAAGTTAAACTTTCCTAATTATGGAAGTTAAAAATCACAGAGATCAGAGAGAATCATATAGTAAACATGTCAAATAAGAACACGTGGCTGAGTCAAGAAAGCAGAGTGAAGAGTATTGCGTTATGCTACTTTGCAGTTAGCAACTGCTACTTAATGGCACAAAAATGAAGTTAGTGGGGGGCAAATTACTCATAAATGCATGTGATTTCTATATTATATAGGCATATTCCATTTTACTATTCACACATGAACTAATTCACACCACAAATAAAGCTATTAATTTTGCTTCACCTAGCAATGCCTGTTTATTGCCATCAGGAGGAGATAGCATGCCCTGCCACAACCAAGCCGTAATCTTCCAGTTAAATTTTTTGTCATAAGATCATGGTGCTTTTCTAAATTTGACTGTATAAAAAAATATATAACTTTATAAAAAGAACAGAGTTTGGAGGGACATTAGAGGCTGTATTTATGGACAGTGCTTTCAGAGAAAACTCTTTATTAGTTTTGAGCTAAAATGTAATATGCTGCCTCCATATCTGTGCTAGCAGTGAAAACAGAATTTTAAGATAAGTCTTAAAGATTGTTCTGTAGCAAGGAGACATACAGCTTTCCATACCTTGATTGTAAGCAATGAGTTTTTTCAGGTCCTTAGGCAATGGGTATTTTCAAATTGTGATTTTAGAGCTCTGTGAGAAAAGCAAAATGAGTAACTGGGTTAAAAGAAGGCAATAATCTTTCTCTTGGATTTTCTTTTTTCTTTCTTTTTCTTGTTAATGGTCATGCTGAAATAATCCACAACCTGCAGTCACAGTGGGAATACGACTGGCAAGCAGAGAGAAACGAGTCAGCTCTAGTCACCAAATGCCTGGCAGTATAGCGCCAGGAAATGAAAACATGTGCAAGGACAGCCTCCCTAAAGTCAGAATACATGGTGCCAGAGCAGGACGATAGTGCAACTACTTTTGCAAAATTCGAATTCCTTTTTCCTCTCAACTTTTCATTTCAAATGTATTCCTTGCTTACAGAAAGGGGTGAAACCATAGGGGATTGGAACAATGTATCTTTTTCCCCTGCCTTCCTAAATCTTTAGTGAGAGCCCTGTAAATGAGACTGACAAAAGACAAGAGTATCCGCATGTATTTAGTGAGTCTTAAGTGACATGGAAGCCTTCATAGGGAAATGAAGACTTGAGAAACAGTGAAGCCTAAGAGTGTTTGTGTTAGGTTTGATGAAGACTAGAAAGTCATTGGGAAATGTGATAGGACAAAGGGAATGAGCTAAAAGTAGTAAATGGCCACCCTTTGGGAGGCTGAGGTGAGTGGATTGCCTGAGCCCGCGGGTTCGAGACCCGCCTGGGCAACTTGGCGAGACCTCATCTCTACAATAAATCAAAATGAGCCAGGCGTGGTAGCCCATGCCTGTAGTTCCAGCTACTTGGAAAGCTGAGGCGGAAGGATCGCCGGAGCCCAGCAGGTCGAGGCTGCGGTGGCCGGGAGTGGCCACTGCAATCCAGTCTGGGCGACAGAGTGAGACTCCAACTCAAAAAAAAAAAAAAAAGTTGTAAATGGGGAAAATTTGGCAAGGCCAGTGTGTTCCGATTCCTATCGAGTCCCCTCCGTCTTTCTCTGGAGCTAAGGATGCTCCTTTCCTCCAGCTGTAAGGAGGGCGCCTCTCACAGAAAGATCTTATAACCTGCTTCGGGGAGGAGGGGAAGGTCAGTGAGTCCTTCCTGCACTTGCCATTTCTCAAATTCTTTTGGGAAATAATGTTCCTTCCTTAAAATATTCAGTATGCCAAGGTGCCATATTTTGGGAGGGTGTATTTTGAACCCTGTCAGGTAGGGATTCTTTTGGTAATCTGTCCAAATAGATTATCTGGATTTATAGTTATTAGGTAAATTAGCCATATGTCTACTTCCCTAAAAAGTATTATTCAAAAGACAAAGACAGAGACTTGAGGAAAGTTAGTAAAATAGATGGCCAGGCTTAAGAGAGTGCTTCCCTTCAGCCTACACCAAAAATTCCAAGCTCAGTGTATAAATTTGTTCCTCTCCCTTTGTCTTCCTCAGTTTACAGAAATCAGTCACCGCATACTATGCTCATACAACACCAACATAGAAGAGCTCTTTTCAGAGATTGATCACTGTTTGGCTATAAACCGAAGCGTTCTAAAGCAGTTCGAGGAAAGGTGTAACCATGAAATCACAGAAGAGGACTGGGAAAAAATCCAAATACAGGTAGGCTTTGGACCAGCTGCCTGGTGAACCAAAGGAATTAACCATAGCTGCCAGGAGTCTGTTAGGGAGTGGCATATGGAAGGAGGTCGAGGGGAGTCTTTTCTCAAGGACTCCGTCAGGGGACCCTGAGGGTATCATGCCTTGGAAACTCTCTGCCTGGCTGCACCTGCACCCGTAGTGGGACCCCCTCATGCCTTTTTCGTGAACTCTGAGATCCCTGCCATGTTTCCTTCCGCTTGAAATTCTTGAATTTTTGATTGGACGATGCCATCTTGTGAACAGTGAAAACACCAAAGGGAAAATATCACTGTACATATCACCTTCCTGGAAAGTTTCCTGTAAATTCTAGCCTGCTTTCATCTTGCATCTGTAAGGAATGAAAAAAATGGGGGGAAAAGACCCTGAGATGACTCAAAAGCCAAGACAAGAAAAACTTACTTAAGCCAGGCGTGGTAGCTCATGTCTGTAATCCCAGCACTTTGGGAGGTAGAGGTGAGAAGATTTTGCCTGAGCCTGCAGATTCAAGACCAGCCTGGGCAACATGGTGAGACCTCGTCTCTACAGTAAATCAAAAATTAGCTGGGCGTGGTGGTGCATGCCCTGTAGTTCCAGCTACTTGGAAGGCTGAGGTGGAAGGATCGTCTGAGCCCAGCAGGTCAAGGCTGCAGTGGCCGTGAGCATGCCACTGCCCTCCAGCCTGAGTGACAGAGTGAGACTCCAACTCAAAAAAAAAAAAAAAAAAAAATCATGGCCAGGCTCCGTGGCTCAGCCTGTAATCCCAGCACTTTGGGAGGCCAAGGTGAGGGGATTGCCTGAGCCTGTGGGTTCAAGACCAGTCCGGGCAACTTGGCAAGACCTTGTCTCTACAATTAAAAAAAAAAAACTCAAAAAAATTAGCCGGGCGTGGTAGCACATGCCTGTAGTTCCGGCTACTTGGAAGGCTGAGGTGGAAGGATCGCCAGAGCCCAGCAGATTGACACTGGGGTGGCCATGAGTGTGCACTACACTCCAGCCTAGGCCACAGAATGAGACTCCAGCTCAAAAAAGAAAAAAAAAGATCATAAAATTAGGAAAATTTTGAAAGTTTAGTAGTTATATAGAGTCAAGTGTTTTGGAAAGTTTTAGTCTTCTAAATTAAAAGGAAATATATATTACTAATGTTCAGCATTTTAGGAGATATTTTTGTTTTTAAATTGCTCTTCACAGGTGGGTTATTATCCTTTCCAGTGGTTCACAAGAGTAACAGTGTTTATGTGTGTATGTATACACACATGTATACATATATAGACACACACACACATAGGGTGAAACTTCTTCATTTTTAGAAGACCCATGTCTCATGGCATAGAGTTCTCATTTGAATTCAAGAAACTTTCTCTGTTAACAAATGCGTTTCTTGTCGGCGCTGCAGGCTCTCCACCGGGACATCTGCGAGTGCTCCATCTGCCTTACCCCGCTCTCACTTGACAGCGACTGTCCGCGAGCATCTGTGGGGCCCGGCCAGCGTCCTCGAGCAACGGTTCTCTTGTCCTGCTCACACTTGTTCCACCACACGTGTCTTCTTGCTTTAGAGAAGTTCTCCTTGGGAGACAGCTCTCTCTTCCATGCTTGTCCTCTCTGCCGCTCTTGCTACCAGAAGAAAATCCTTGAGTGATGAATTCACATCAGGAAAAGTTCTGCAGTTCCGAGAAAAATGTTTGCCGTAGTTTTGGATGAAATGCATGAGTTTTGGGTTAAGTTCTGCGATGTCATCTGTTATCCAGTGAAGTAAATGCTTGGTCGTTGTATACAGGAAATCTAACTATATTTTAACAGCTGACAGCCCATTTAGTTTTAGTCTTCAGTCTATAGAAAGAAAATTTCATGAGTTTAATCACTTGAAATAAATGAGAAATGGCTTTAAAAATGCTTACTTAAATTACTTTTAAAAATTGAGGTTACTTAAAATATAGCTAGTATCTGATCAACAAGCTAATAAACTAAAAATACTTCCTAAGTAAGTTCCAAAGTTTTCCATTGATATTTTAGGTATCTTAGTTTTTACCATTCCTAATTGTTGTTTGGGAATAACTGCTGTCTTTTTATGTAATAGATTACTGTTATAGTTGAGCACTTTGAATGTGTAAAACCAAAATATAAAAATAAAATATTCAGTGGAAGTCAACATCAGAAAACATTAAAACAAAAAAAATTTTTTTGACTTATTGTAGAGACGAGGTTTCACCAAATTGCCAGGGCTTGTCTCAAATTAGTGGGCTCCATTCGCCTCGGCCCCCCAAAGTGCTGGGATTACAGGCTGAGCCACCGAGCCTGGCCAAAACAAAGTTTAATGACTTAGAGCAATATAGACTGCTTTATTTCACACATAAAGAAAAGCATGAACATGTTTTATAAGAATTGTTTCTGTCACTGATGGACTATTAGTAGGAGCCTGGTTATTTGCAATAACCAATTACAGTTGTATCAGTTGGGCTACACCTAGCTGCTGTAACCAATAAAGCCCCAAATCTCAGTGGCTTACCGAAGAGAAGTGTTACTTGTGAGTCTTCGTCACTCAGTCCTTGTCAGCCATAGGGTGAGGCAGGGCAGGGGGTCTGCCCTGAGTGGCCTTTCACACTCCCTGGATTTTTCTGTTGTGGCTCAAAGTCTCCTTGGTCCCAGAGTCCCCAGTGAATCCTGTCATCTGCGTGTGGAAAAGCAGGAAGAGATTGCTAGGGGTCATACATGGAAATGACACACATCACTCCGGCCACAGGTAAGTATAAGACTACATGGGGCAAGGAGATAGCAAAGTGTGGGTCCAAGAGGAAAAAGACAAGCAGGCTGCCAAGCAGGGGCTCGCATGCCAAGGGTTCAGAATACTCCTTGTATAATGTGGGAAAGAACATTAAAATTTATTTTTCTACTTAGTCATTTATCTCATTCTTTAAAGATAGTACTCTAGTATGTTGTATGATTTACGCGATATATAGCTATATATGTGTGTATTGTTTATGAATAGGCATATATGGGGGTGTGCTCATTCATATTATAATAATAGAGTATACCATTACAAAATTTGGAGACCAGTTTGGAGAATGCTGTAAACATTGAGTGAATACTTTTGTTGTAAGACAGCAGATGGAAGATGCATCACATTTGGACACAAATGTCCAAAGCATCAGACATTTCTCTTCCCATTCCCTGGCAAGCAGAGCATAGCCATGGGTCAAAGGCCTGGGTGGTCTGACCCCACACAGCCCCAAACTTTGAATCTGAAGGGAGAGTCCCAGAGATAAGTGAGTCATTCCATGATAGGAAGAGTCCAGGAAAGGCTGTGCCTGGGCTATACCTGACACTGTTTCTTCTGGGCTTTCTCACTGACTGTCTAAGCCATCCTGTATCCTCCCAGCAAACTCTTTTCCCGGTTAGTTGGCAGAGTCCATTTCTGTTCTTTGCAGCCAAGTGCAGTTATTTTACTAACAGATACTCAAGAAAAACTGTGGGATGGAAGTCTAGGACTGGTCATCAAACTTCATTGAAAATGAGGACAGTGACAGTCTCTTGAGTGTTAAGGAATGAGTCTCAGGCAGCTTTGACAGTTAACGGCCAATCAGGTCATTTTAAAATTGAAAAGTGGCCTTAGGAAGGGTACGCCCATCAGAGGATTGGGGAGACCAAGTTGCAACCATAGAACGGAACTTTAACGAAGTTAAAGTTAAACGGAACTTCTCGGGACAACTTGAAGATAATGACACAGTCTCAGGAAACAATCCAAACTTCTTTCTATACAATTACCTCACAGTCTCATCAGGTTTCTTAAGTGAAAACTGGAGCATTAAGAGAGTTGAGCCTTGAGAAACATGAGTTGGTAGAAGGAGTCAGAGGACAAGGAGTGCCCTGTGTCCAGCTCTCGTGGAGGCTTCCTTGTCGGATAAAACAGTCCCTGAGGGAGGAAGCCAGTTCTCCTTATGCCTTCTCCTCAGTTAAGGCTAGAGACTGTTGAGACACAGAATGCCCTCTGGGCCCTGAAGTTTTTACAGGCAAGATACAGGCTGAGAGATCTCTTTACCTCAGAACCCTCTTTGGGAAGGACCAGTGAGAAATGTAGAAGAGGAAGGAACATGCAGAAGATGGAGCAGGAACCACGAAGAACAGTGGATCAAGGAACTCCTCCGAGGGTAGAAAAGGGGCTTAATCACCAACATTTTCTGCCCCTGGGAATAACACTTACCCTGTGAGGGTTCAGAAGTGCAGTGGGCCAGAGACTGCCGTGTAGCTCCCGTTCCTCCCTCTTTGGAGGGGTCTGTGTATGGCAATTAGCCCATCCTTGTTCTGCAACTGTGTTGAACGTGTCTGTGGGTGTGGCAAGGTGGGGGGGTGGCAAGGTGGCAAATAGCTTGTACTTTTAGTTCATAGGTCCCAGAGAAAGAGGCGCTTTATTCTCATGTGTCCTGGGCTTGGAGCCAGACGTCATGAGGCGGCTTTGGGAGTCTTGGGATGAGATGATCATGTGACTTGCCTACGAGAGGGCACGGACCCAAAGGGCTGACTATGCTAGACTTCATTATTGTTCTCATTTCTTCATATCCTGTAGTTTGTATCTACACTGTGGTAACGACCGTTTTCTTGTTTCTGTATGACATTTAGTGCTCAAATGGTTCCTTAGATTTTGCACTTTTTACCTCACGTTATTATAGCTTTGCGTTCTAATTTTATTGAATTTTTATTAATTGTTCAATAGCATGTTTTGATTCTTTTGAGTTTTGCATTCTTTGTTTTTCTTCTGTAGAGGGAAGCGTTATCTTGCAATTTTAAAAAGATTGCTCATACTTGAGCAGCTCTGCCTAAGTCATTCTACTCCCTCTGATGAAATGTCCATGACTCTTCTATCTGCTAAGACTAATTTGTTTTTCCCTAAAGTTGCAAATTGATAGCTAGGTAATCTGTGTTTTACACACTCTTCTGTTACCTCAGAAAATGGCAAGAGAGGGTCACTTCTGCTAACACCAGTGCCATCTCTAGAATCCCTGGGCTCTTCTCTCTTCTGGCGTTTGGCTAAAGGACCTACACCAGAACTGTCCGCAGGGAAATGAAAGAGAACGACTATATACAAGGGAAGACCTCTCCAAAACCAGAATTTATTTAATTAAAAAACTGTGTATTTATTCTTACATGTTTAAACTTCACTCACCTTCAAAGTACTCTCTGTTTGATGCAATACACCTATTGAGACACTTTTTCCACTGCTCAAAACAGTTTTTGAACTTGTCAATTTTGATGCCTTTTAGTGCTTTGGCCATTTTTCGTTTCACCTCTTCCACATGGGCAGAACATTTCCCTCTGAGGATTTTTTCCACTGGGGAAACAAAATTGCTCAGGGCAAGATCTGGTGAATAGGGAGGGTGGGCCATGGAGGTCATGCTGCTTTTTGGTCAAAAACTGCTGAACACTCAGTGCAGTGTGGGCAGGTGCACTTGTAAATCACCCATCATTGAAATGTGCAAACATGTTGAATCTCCCAAAAACTTCACTGAGCCAAATACAGCCTCTCACAACACTAGCTGGTACACTGATGACGATGGGTTCCTAGAATACTTACATAACAGGGGAAGCCTGTATTATAGGGAATCTGCCCTCCCAAAGATAACTCCGTTTTGGAGGAGGGGGTCGCCCCGCATATAGTATACTCATGGGAATGTATCTTTGGCTACAAATAATTTCTATTTTCAGTGTGGTGCCCTGGATCCATCACCTCAGAAAGCTGGACCACATCAGTGGTTCTTTTATCGTTTTACTATTTTCTTTCCAATTGTTAGGAAACATATTTGCACCTAATTATATTTGGGAGTACTAGTGAGATTGCTCAGGATTTTCTCTCATGTAGTATAGCTTCTGGGTATCAGGCAAAGTAAGAGGGCAATGCTATGTCTCTCTGTTCTCCTTTGGAATTTTTTGTCCTTTTCTTTGACAGTCCAAGACATAATCATAACAAACTTTTGGGAGTTGATTGATATAGGCTACATTCCATTCCTTTTCTTATTTGCCTAGTGTTGGTGCAGAGGTTTATTCATGCTTATTAGGCATCAGGAGAGAGAAATTCTGCCATACTATTTATATCTACCATCTTAATTCACAAATCCCCACAGTTATTTAAAAATACAGTTTTCACATTCCCAGGTGGTTGGCCATTTTATTACTATTTTTATTAGTAATTTCCAGTTTTGTTCCATTTGATCAGAAAATGTAATTTCTACTTCTGTAATGTTTATAAAAACAAGCATTTATTTCTTGTTTGTTGGATGGGGGTTGCTGATCTAGGTCAGGCTTCATTGGGCTTGGCTCTAAACTGAGTTAGGAAAAGATATGTTCCATGAGCCTTGTGAATTTGGTTTCTGGCACCTGCAACAAAAGAGTTCTGATGAATACAAGGTAATACAAATTAAGATGGAACCAAAGAAATAAACTAGTATTAGCGTTTTCCAGAGAAACCAGTTGTGTGCATATGTGTGTGTGTGTGAGAGAGAGAGAGAGAGAGAAAGAGAGAGAGACTCATGCAATTATGGAGGATAAGAAGTCCCATGATCTAGAGACCCAGGAAAGCTGAGAGGGCAATTATGTCCAAGTCTGAAGGTCTGAGAACCAGGAAAGACAATAGCATAAATCCAGTCTGAGAACAGGAGAAAAAGAGATGAGATGCCCCAGCGCAAGCAATGAGGCAAACTCCTCCCTCCACTGCCTTTTATCCTAGTTGGGCCCTCTGCAGTTTGGATGGTGGCCACCTACAAAGGGGAAGAACAATTCATTTCATGGAGCCCACTGATTCCAATGCTAATCCGATTCAGAACCACCCTCACAAACACACCCATAAATAATATTTAATCTGGGCGCCCAATGGCCCAGTCACGTTGACACATAAAATTAATTGGAACAAAGTGAGGCCAAGAACAAGACTGAACTACCCACTGTAAACATCCACGTACACTTGCTTTAAGAGAACTGCACATTTAGCACTGAGCTTTCTTCTAGGGGACCCCAAAATAGTCTTTTAGACCATTCATCATGTCCATTAACTAAAAACAAGGCAATGTCCAGGTAAAGAGCAATTGCTAGGCTGGGCACAGTGGCTCGTGCCTATAATCCCAGCACTTTGGGAGGCTGAGGTGAGAGAATTACCTGAGCCCACAGGTTTGACATTAGCCTGGGCAACTTGGTGGGACCTCATCTCTACAATAAATCAAAAAATTAGTTGGGCGTGGTGGCACACACCTGTAGTTCCAGCTACTTGAAAGGCTGAGGTGGAAGGTCAAGGCCAGCAGGTCGAGGCTGCGGGTGACCAGGAGTGTGCCACAGCACTCCAGCCTGGACAACAGAGTAAAACTCCTACTCAAAAAAAAAAAAGAAAAGAAAAGAAAAGAAAAAGAAAAAACAATGACTGCTCTCTCTTTTCTAAGAAAAGTGCTTCCTCTTATTTATTGAAACACGGCTCAGATCCTCTTTCAAGAAAATCAGCTAGTTGGCTGATGCCATCTGGCTGCTGC